GAACAAAAATCAATTGTGAAGATTGGGAGAGCGCGATGACAATATTGTTTATTAAGGTGCTATCATGATGGCTGTTGCCGGCAGCCTACCCTTGGGAAAGACGAGCAGTGCGGGCTCCCCGTCGTAATAATCGTTGCTGAGCATTCTTAATCCGCTGTGGGATGAAAGCCCATCCATGAACATCTGACAAACCCGTTTGGTTTTTTTTGTTTTGGTGGGGGTGGGTTTTCCCCCCAGTCACGTGACCGGAGGTATGGATGCGGCCCGCGTTATAATATAATGCCTGTGATGATTATTAACCCATCCACGCGGCCGTTAGGCATCATGCCTGCAGAGTCGTTGATTTTTTTGCGTCGTTTTCACTGTCGCCAAATGCGAGAATCATCGTCGTAATAATATTTCGTTTTATACGTAGCATCGTCGTTCCTCTACATTGCATCCCACAATCGCTGTGGAACCGCAGGCAAGCTGGAAGTCAGCAGCCAGGCGAAGAGTCGAAACCAACAGTTGCCCGAGATCTGTAGCCCTCTATATTTTAAGTTGTTTTTCAGCCGACTACTGAGTGTTTATACACGTACGGGGAAATCGGAGCGCCCGGGGGAGAACCCACGCCCGTGAGGGAGCAACCACTCTATCGCGTGCAGAAGGGACAGATTGCATTCAACCGCTCTTGGCCGTGCTCCGGCTTCTCCTGGCATAGTCAGAGTACGGCGCCTCTTCGACGCCCACTGGAAGGGAATTTCGCAACATCGTCAGTCATAACAAAGGTTTTTGGGTTAGATGGCGTTATTTATAAATGTGTCGTAACCCTCCACCACCCGACACGGCCAATTGGCAAAAAAGTGTCACGTTGACAAAAGGCGAAATAGTTCATTACTTTAGCCCACCGGTAGTGAACTGTTTGTCTTTTGTCAACGTGACACTTTTTTTTGCTGATTGGCCGTGTCGGATGGTGGAGGGTTACGACGACACATTTATAAATGACGCGATCTAACCCAAAAACCATAACTATGAATAATATTGGTCGCGAAAGCCTACGTGTTAAACTAACGTCGTCAGTGTTCGTACGCGGTGATCCACCAACCCTCGCCGCTGCCTCCAACAGCGCTGGATGCCGGCGTCCGAGATAAGACAATTCGCCGATGCGTACCAAGGGGAATTGCCGTATAAATGCTAAACCGACTGCTTGCGCCTCCTTTTTTTGAAGGCAAATCATATTTTTTGCTTGGTATTGATGCTTATAGGGTAGGCCCTGCAGCCTGTGACTCCATCTGGCCAGTGGGCAAGCGCCTAATCTCTGCGGCAGCTCTGTCTTCGCATCCTTGTTTTTGTTTTGTCTGTTTATTTGTCTTGTTTCCTTTCATCAACAATTTCTTTACATTCGCGATATTGAACTCGCGTCATGAGTTCAAGAAGTCCAATCTTGATTTGAAGCTTTCGTGACTGCAGGAATCCATGCTCTTTGGTTCTTTCGGTAAAGTCCACGTGGGCCGAAAGAATGATCGATCGCGACGTTTCGATCGCAGCGCGAGCAATCGTCATCAGGCGGAAGATAGAGGTCCCTTTTTAAATATATAGTTTGAAAACTTGTGCATTGTAACTTTTGTATAAAATACACGGTGAAGATGAAGGCGCAGCCCCCGCAACGGGCTCCTCTCACACGCCTTTGCTGGTGCTGGGGCCTCCAATTGAAGAGAGAGAGAGATAGTCCCGTGGAATCGGGCCTACTCTTCCATGCTGGCCAAATATCTTTTCGGTTAAGAGGTGGGTGTACCCACACTGCACCCCATCACACCGCTCGCCTACCGTTCAACTAATTGTGCTCTACCCATTTATACTGCTTAGAGGACAGAAACGGGGGGGGGGGGGGGGGGGGGTGGGACGGTCGCTGCTGGTGCAGATGGAGATTCAAGTAACTCGTGCCGTTGTTTCAATCGAACTCGCACCCTCCGGATCGCAAGTCCGGTGCGCTGCCTAACACTTTGCGCCGCGTACGACGTGAAATGCGACGGGGAAATTCCGATTTTCCTTTTAGGGTGTTTGAGGCACCGGCAAATGTTGCTCCTGCGTGTCGTCGCTCAGCTGTCGTCGCGCAACGCACGAGCGGTACGTACGACGATAAAAAAAACAAAAACAAGAACACCGTGGACGTGCCGTGAACGTTGCGTCTGGTTGACAAGGTTATCCTCGCCGTCCAGCAGCGTGTTGGGGATCAGGTCAACTGGCCCCATTCAGATAGGGCTAAACACACAAAAGCCTTTAGATGCGCAGAGCGGCGGTGCAGCGCAGTGCCACGGCCGGCGTGATAAGTGACGCGCGGCAAGGAGAACCGCGTGTTACCGGCGGGGGCTTTGCCGTACGCCGCTAAAGCCCCCGGTATATATATATACCATCCAATGTGAGCACAACGGCGCAGTTCCGTTTTTGAATTTATTATCTGCTCGGGGCATTCCCCTTTGACTACGTCTCTCTCTCTCTCAAAGCCGTCTCCTTTAGCCCTCGCGCATTAACACCGAACCCTAATAAATCTAAAGGTGCCCTCGTCTGGTCATGTGAGCATCTAGTCTCGACCACCTAGCCCGTAACCTTAGAAGGGGCGCTTCAGTGTGACCCTCTCGAGACGGGCGGGGGGGGTGGGTAGTAAACCCTGAACTCTTGAGCATGCTGAAAGGTGCCCTCAGTCTGGCTGTCTGAGCCCCAGACATTAACGCCTGAAGCCTAAGTAAAATAACTATGCCGCCTACCTCCTGCCGCTGAGCGATGGGGTTATTTTGCGAAGAACCTTGAGAATGATCACGGAGCCACAGTCCGGCCGTCTGAGCCTCGGGTTAACAAAACATACCGACGTTGGCCGCGCTTTGAGATGTAATATCATTCCGCGTGCCGAGCGTGCCGAGAGATGCAGCGCAGTAATATAGATGCAATATGTATTTACAAATGTATGGGGGTGGCGAGATGTTAACTACCTCGACTGGTATACGGGAGGTTGTTGGTTTGATCCCGACCCTGACGCCTCCTGTTTATTCGGAGTTTGCGGCGTCTCTCTCTCTCTCCCCGTGGTTGCGGGGATTTTTCTCCGGGTCCTCCGGTGTTTCCCTCCACGTTTAGAATCAACATCGCGCGTTCAGAGTATTTGGCTGCTATTAATTTCCACGTGATAAGCCGCTTCGTTGAGCTGCCATATGTGGCCTGGTCGCTTCTGAAAACAATAACGCTATATGACTCGGTAGGCCTTAACCTGGTAGAACAAAAAAAGGCTGCTTCAATTCGTCGTTTGTTTGTGAGCGGTTCAGACTGCGCCTCTCATCGTGCGCGCATTTCACCGAAGGGCTCGGAGCGAGAAAGCGTCCGCGCCGGAATGTCGGACGCTCGCTGCCTCGCTTCAATTTGGCACGGAAGCGTCTCTTTTGATGCAATTTATTTCTGTTTTTTTACTTCATTAATGGAGCGTATCGCATCGCTCTTGCGCGTTTCATGCCTCCTTGACACGGGAATTCATATTTGGGAAGGAATGCGTTTTACAGTAAATTAGTAGCTAATGAGGAGTAATGTGTGTTCTTAATTATTTACGTGCGTTTCTGCATATGTTTGTGCGGCACGTATCACGGGTTGTGTCGATCTCCCCCACCCCCCCCCCCCCCCCCCCCCCCCCAATATCCGGCCAGACAGGTCAGATGTGTCCTGTGTTACTTTATTTTCGGGATGTAATGGTTTAAAGTTTCCTAGTGCAAGCAAGAGCAACAATCGGCCAAATGCCATGCTTTGGCCGTAAGAGGTGCGGGGATTGATGCGATGAAAGCTACGCAATTGCCTGTGAAGCCACGTTTGCGGATGAGCCTGAAATGCACCGCTAATTCCGATCGTCCGGAGTTTTGCGCCGAGCCTCGACTTTTCGGATTTTTCCATGCGATCGGAAAAATCGGGCACGCGTCGCGAGTTTAATGTTTTTTTTTATTTTTTTATCATTGACAGAGGTTCAAAGATTGCCTGCATCATGAGAACAAAATTATTGCAGCGGACCAAAAAAACATGAACGTAGCAATTGCGGCAATTTGTAAAAATGCTAAGAGGAATGCAATCTGGGAATAATGACAATAGGGGTTATTTTGACAGTGCTCTGCCTGGCACGTGCAGCGAATGCTAGACCGGGTTCCATCAATACGGACAGATCAGGGTGAACACAAGACACTAACAATGAGAACAAACATCGGCTTGTGGACTGAAATGAACCTGACCGCCTACATAATTCACGTGCACTGCCTCGCCAACAATAAGAGTGCTCGCAACAATAGAATGCCATTCCAGACGGTGGTCTTTCTCACGTGTTTTATAGTATACAAGGCAAATGCGTAATTCCTTGTTTGTACGACGATTGTTGTTTGGTTCAGCGACGTATGGTGTTGGTGATCTTGCACTTGCGCACATTGCTTTTTTGGGCCATTCCCGGATGAGGTCTCTCCCATGGCTTGCTTTGTCGTGGGAGTTGTTTGACCACACTTAGCCAATTCTGGTCAGCGCGAGCTGGTGAAGGGGCGGACCAGTTCAGATACCGCTCGCCATTGACGTCAGCCCGTGGCCCGGGATCACGCTTAGGTTGCTGGGTTTGTAGCGCAGCGTACTTACCAATGCATTACAGATTCCCCCACCACTGCTGCATATGACTTACGCTAAACAATCAGAAGTTAGTTATGAAGACATGAAATGGTGACGATGAAGAAAATATCATCCAGAGCAACATATTTTTTTTACCCATTCTTGTTTGGTCATTTTATTCGAGGTAGCAAATTTTAAGATTGGGTTGCAAAGACGACGCATTTTATTGTACGTCCACAGGTTTGGAAACATTCGTATGTAAAAAAAAAAAAACCAGTGGTTAAACTTAACGAGTTATTCACACGTTCTCGTGCACTCCGGAGCGCCGGGTACAGGGCGCCGTGGGTTTCGTTGGCGTGCGCGCGCGCGGTAATTTGCGGCCACGTTTGTTATTTATTCCCCGCCAGGACGAGGAGCTTGTTTCTGGGAGCAGAACGCAAACGTCTTTGAACTGTCAGTCAGAAGGGCAGGAGAAGACGCACGACAAGGTACCCTGCAAGTTTGCGCACGTGCGCACACGCGCGGAACATACGGCACGCACGCACGCACGCACATGCACACGCACGGACACGGTGCCGTAATTGAATATGCCCGTGTCCGTGCGCTCGCGTTACCAGGTGTTTTTTTGTTGCAGGGTCAGATTTAAACTCCGATACGTGTAACAGGGCGAGTCACCCCGAGCTTTTGCAGAGTGCAGATTTAAAGTGACCCACTGGGGAAAGCATCAATCATTCAATTACGTGTATTGGACATTCCTGACGTGGGCCGAGGCTGAAGATGTTGGGCCATCCTGCTGCCCCCCCACCGAACCACACACACCGTGGAGGTTAAATGAAACCCTTGCGTTGGCAGTGAGCGATTGCGTTGCATAAACCCAGCGTGAAATTTGGGTCAAAGCCAGTGCGGAAACGATTGGCCACTGCTTTTGTACTATTACTCAACGCGGATTAACGTATGACTTTGTCAGAATTACTGTCGCCGGAATTGAGGATCAAAGCGAGCGCACTCCTCTCATGTTTTCACCCCTGCCGGAGAATCCTTCCTTGGGAGGAAAAAAAAAGAGCGTATGCCGTGCAGATGGGACCTAATTCTCTAAATACTTTGTCCCCGGCTTCCAGCCCGAAAAGATTTGTTGTTTGGCAAATGCCCTCCGACAGTGACACCGTCTGGTGTTTTACCTCCCTTCGTCGAGCCAACTGCGTCCTCGATGGACGGATGTGCCGCTTGTTACAGCCGGGGCAGCATGGCCAAGTTTAAATGGCGCCCACCGAGGGTTCGAAACCGGCAGATGGGAATTTTTTGGGAACGAACGCATCTGCAGTCAGGGAAGCCCTCTTTGATTCATCGTCATCGTCGTCGACGTCGCCATCGTCAGGCGTGACAAGAGGCAATTAATTTTTTGTCTCGCTCAATTTCATTTAAATTTCATGGCCACGGCGCGCAGAGGACGATGGAAATTCATGGAACATCACGCAATTTGTATTCCCCATGAAAATACGACATAGGTATATTTATTTTGAATGTAAACAAAAATACTTTCAATAAAAAGTGACAGCCCATTGCCACTCTCACCACCTCCCCCCCCACAAACCGGCATTTCTTAAAGGAAGCAAGTAATTAATGTAATATACAATGTCCTTCTGCCATCCTGTGATTAATCTTGATTGTTAGTCACCATCCCTTCTCATGAAAATAGTTCAGATCATGTTGTTGACCTGTCTGTGCGTGTCCTCTAATGTTGGGAGTGGTAGTGTAGTGATTCAGCGAGCTGCACTACGAACCCGGTGACCTGAGTTCGATTCCCGTCCCCGTCCATGGCCATCAACACCAGTGATGATTATTTGAACCGGTCCTCCGTTTAGCACGGTTGGCCACGTACAGTGCGAAAGAAGTTCGACATACGTATATTGCAGGCAATTTTTTTTCATCACCTCCTACTCAGAGATCCTGGTATCTCATGAAGGAGCAATCCATCGTCTGGAGGCTGCACAAGAAAAGAGTTTGGACTCAAGTGGCGAGCGATTCTTTTATTTTTACCAGCGGCTTGTTCTTTTTACGCCCAGTGCCACCTTTTCAATCACGTTAAGGGGGGACACGGCGAACCTCACGCCCATCCCCTTTGCCTTCCCCCGGTCTAGAGGTGGCACCCGCGGCGCAGCCAAAGCGGCTGATTTTCCTGGCGGGGGTCCCCTAAACCCTTAAAAGGTCACCTCCGATGAGCGGGAACGTTATTGTAATTATCATCCGGCCCTGGGAGTTTAATCTTTTAAATCTAGATGGAAAACTAATTTCTTTAGAACTGCTTTTTGTGTTTAATTTGTTTTCCTTTTGACCCACCCCCCCCCCGCCGCACCTCGGATTAGCGCACTGCTTGCAACGCGCGGTGCAAAAAGAAGTTCAGCGTACGTACACTCACATAATCCTCCGTGCCCGCCCCGTCGTTCCCTGCGTGCCTGTGCGCTCATCGACGAACAGTTGCTCTCCCCCGAATAATGCCACCGGAGAAAGCGAATAATCGTGAGGGCTGCAGTCGCCAATGCCCCTGGGAGCGTGTGCGCCGCAAATGGACGGCGTTTGTTTCCTTTTCCGTTCCCCCTTTTGAGCATTTCACCCTCGCCCACTCTGACCGCGTGCCCGCTCCGCTCAACAGGACGCGGCGACGGACGAGGTGACCCGGCTACGGGGGCAGCTGAGAGCGAGGGAGGAGGAGAACGCTCGGTTGAAGGCAGAGCTGGTGAGCGTCGCGATGGCTCCGCCTTGAGCGCGCGCACGCATGCGCAATCACCCTCTTCACCCACGCGTCCGAAAACCGAGGTTAACTTTGGGTAGCGCGCACGGATTGGAGTCGATTGCCTCGCAGCGTTTGGGCATCGCCAGGTTCGGTTGTGCGGTATTCTTTCGCGTCACCGAGCGTCGATTGAGAGCCGAGGAAGCACCGTGGAGCATGTTGAGGAGGAGGGGGGAGGAGGGGGAGGAGGGGGGGGGAGGAAGGGGGGGGAGGTTTATTTGGAACAATGAAAAAAAAGGGTCATTGGATTTGGGCACATTCCCAGATGTAAGAGCTTGATGAAGGAAGTTGTAGAAGGATGTTGGAAATTAGGCCAGAAAACAAGGTGGGTGGGAGGTGGTGGTGGACAGCGAAGAGAAAAAGAAAGCTCAAGAAGGAACAGGGAAGCGGGATTCATATTCTTGGTTCTTTTGGTAAAGTCACATAGAAGGTAAACAATACAATAATAAAAATATAAAACAATACAATTATTTCATTGTTCCCTTCTACGTGACGTTACCGAAAGAACCAAGAATATGAATCCCCGCAGTCACGAAAGCTTTAAATCAAAGGGAAGCGGGAGTTTGAGCCAAAGCCCTACCATTGGGCAGAGCACTAAATTAGAACCCTTTTGCCAGCCCTTGCAGGCAGATGGACAGAAAGAAAAAAGTTGGCTCTACACTTCTGAATGCTATTGCGTTTTCATTTTTGACCAATTATAACGGCTAATGATTTGGATTCATTTTGAGCTGTGTCATGTTGCTGGACCAGCCATAAAAATAGTGCACGCGAAGATAGAATGAAAATAAATAAATTAGATGCCACAATAAATAAACACAAGCGGGCGCAGATGTTTATTGGTGGAGGGATACGCACGTGGCTTGTAACCCCCGGCACTGCGGAGGCAGCGAAGGTTGGTGGATCGCGCAGATCCTGTGACTCTCCCTTCCCATGGTCCTCGAGGACGAGCTGTGGAGGCGGTAGAGCAAAAAATTGTGGACTCCACCTGCTACGCCTGTATGGGATCGAGTGTTTCTCCCTCGCACGCACGTGGGTCTTTCCCGCGGACGCCCCGGTTTTCATCCACGCGTGAGCACTCGTGAAAATTGGCCCAATAACACCTCAATATACGGAGGGCCGCAGAGCTTGGGCGATGGTTTGCGGTGGCTCGCCCGCGTGGCTGCCGCTTATCTGTAGTTCCCCCCCCCCTGGCGCCTCTGAGTCGTCCTCTCTCTCGCTCTGTGAGAGAGAGAGTGAATGCTCTCCGGCGACGGTGTCGACATCACAATTCGGGTTATTTCGCGACACTAAACGATACGATATTCATGTTGACACTATGGCAGTTATCGCAATGTGATTTTACCATTAACTTTGTATTTGTTACAGTACTGTATTATTGTTGTGTTTTGCAATACTTGGAGTGCCAATTACAGGCTACTTGAAGGTTCTTTAACTGCAAGTCTTTTAAAACGAGCCTGCCACAATTCTCTTCATTGTTAAACTCGATAACGTTTTTTTTTTACGCACGTGTGCTGTTAGTTTCCCTGAAATATATTTTTATAATTAAATGAACTGCGGTAATAACATGATGCCCCCATGTAATCTGCACACCATCAATCGGGGCAAATAACGTTTGGCGAAGCTCTAACGGAATGGGCAACGGTCATTTATTTACATCTCTAATTACCGGGCTGGTTATTTAACAAGTATTTTTTTTTTCGCGTCTGGAATTAAAATAATTTAAATAAAAAAAATTAACGTGCGCGGCAATAAATCACGACGGCGCGAAGATATTTTTTGCCAAAAGCACGGACTCTGCGATTACCGTGGATCCGTTACCGTGCGGCGCAATCTCTCATCGTCACAGCGACCCTCGCGGCGACCCTCGCGTCGTCACGGCGACGCGAGGGTCGTCACGGCGACCCTCGCGTCGTCACGGCGACCCTCATCACAAAACACACGACCAACAATGCAACGCTGCAACTGCCACAACGATGGTGATGATGATGACCTCTTTATCTGTTGGTTTCATTTCGGAAACAAAATGCCCCTTGGCTAAGGACGATTCCCTGTGTCTAAATTAATGGACGAATACAATTATGCAAATTATTTGTTAATTGAATTACATTACGTGCGAGTATATATGTCCATGATGCGTGATTAGTGAAGGATTTGTCGTGGTGTTGTTGTTCTGACAGACTAAAATAAATCTTGGAAACGTATCATCATCGTTAATCATGGTCTGTACACCGTTAGATGAAGGACTCCACACGCTATCGCCACCCCTCAGAATGGCACAGTTCCGCCTTTCCATCTCCACGATTGTCATCCTCTAGGGCAGTGGTTCTTAACCTGGGTTCGATCGAACCCCAGGGGTTCGGTGAGTCGATCTCAGGGGTTCGGCAGAGCCCCCGCCACGGAGGTCCGGACACTCTTGAATTGTTGTGTAAATTTGTGATGACACACACGGCCCGCTTGGCCATCACTGGCTGCAGATGATCATGCTACACTGCTTGGCCAATCAGCGCTGCGGGGAATTTAGTGCGTACTCAGTAGTCAACGTGTGACTGTTGTCGTACGTCGTGTGATTTCTTTAATATTTTATCCATACTAACTATGTCGGGCAAAAGAAGAAAGTGGTCGGACGAATATGTACAACATGGATTCTCATGTATCACGGAACGTGATGGGAGTGAGCGTCCTATCTGCATGATTTGCAACGCCAAGTTGAGCAACTCTAGTCTTGCACCGGCAAAACTAAAGGAACACTTCTTGAAGCTGCATGGAGACGGGGAATACAGGAACACAACACTTGCTGAATTCAGGGTGAAGAGAGCCAGATTCGATGAAAGGGCCACTCTGCCTGCTCTTGGATTTGTACCTGTTAACAAACCGATCCTGACAGCATCGTACGAAGTTGCTTACCTGATCGCAAAGCAGGGCAAGCCACACACCATTGGTGAAACACTTGTGAAACCAGCTGCATTAAAGATGGCGAATCTGATACTCGGAACAGCGGCCGAAGGTAAATTATCCCAAATTCCCCTTTCAAATGACACCGTCAGTGACAGAATAGAAGACATGAGTAAAGACATCTTGGCTCAAGTAGTCGCGGATCTGATTTCAAGCCCGGCAAAATTCAGCCTTCAACTCGACGAAACCACAGACGTTTCTGATCTAAGCCAGCTTGCTGTTTTTGTACGCTATGTGAAAGACGACATGATAAAAGAAGAGTTTTTATTTTGTAAGCCTCTTACAACAACAACGAAGGCAGCCGATGTGAAGAAGCTTGTGGATGACTTCTTCAGAGACAACAATCTTTCATGGGATATGGTTTCTGCAGTTTGTACGGACGGAGCTCCAGTCATGCTGGGAAGAAAGTCTGGTTTTGGTGCGCTAGTAAAGGCCGATGCACCACACATCATTGTGACGCATTGTATTCTGCACAGGCATGCGTTGGCAACAAAAACCTTACCTCCAAAAATGGCAGAAGTATTAAAAACTGTGGTGGAATGTGTGAACTATGTGCGAAAAAGTGCTCTGAGGCACCGCATCTTCAGTGAGCTGTGTAAAGAAATGGGCTCTGAATTTGAGGTACTTCTGCTCCATTCTAATATTCGGTGGTTATCCCGGGGACAGGTGCTGAATCGTGTTTTTGCCATGCGTGTGGAATTAGCCCTGTTTTTGCAAGAGCACCAACACTGCCATGCAGATTGCTTCAAAAATCCTGAGTTCATTCTCATTTTAGCGTACATGGCTGATATATTCGCAGCTCTCAATCATCTCAATCAGCAGATGCAGGGTGGTGGAGTCAATATCATGGAAGCGGAAGAACACCTGAAGGCTTTTCAAAAAAAGCTACCGTTATGGAAACGACGAACAGAGAACAATAACTTTGCAAACTTCCCGCTTCTGGACGACTGTGCAAGTAAGATCGAAGATGTGTCTAGAATCGGAGATATTTCTGTATCCACGGAACTGAAGCAAACAATTGCCACGCACTTAGATGAGCTTGCAAAGTCTCTCGACGGATATTTCCCTACAAGAGAGTCATATCCAGCATGGGTGAGACAGCCGTTCACGTTTGCTGTTGAAACAGCAGATGTCAATGATGAATTCCTCGACGAAATCATTGAAATTCAGCAGAGCCAGGTTCAACAGCAACTCTTCAGAACAACAACGCTCTCAACGTTTTGGTGTCGACAAATGAACAAGTATCCAGTTATTGCTAAGAAAGCCCTGGATTTTTTTATACCATTTGTTACAACATATCTTTGTGAGCAATCCTTTTCGAGGATGCTGGACATAAAAACGAAGAAAAGGAACAGACTTTGCTGTGAAAATGACATGAAAGTGGCACTTGCCAAGGTGAAGCCACGCATATCTGAACTGATCTCTCAAAGGCAACAGCAGAAGTCACATTGATTTCCAGGTATGTAATTTGTTGTGAGTTTATGCATTGTGTTGGTTTTATTCTTTGAACAAGGTAATGTTCATGCACGGCTCATTTTGTGTACCAGTAAAAAACATATCTATGTCTTGAATTTGAAAAAAATCACATTTTATTTTTCACTAAAGAGGGGTTCGGTGAATGCGCATATGAAACTGGTGGGGTTCGGTACCTCCAACAAGGTTAAGAACCACTGCTCTAGGGCATCTTTTCTTTTTTGGCTGCCAGTTCACAGCCAGTCTCATCCCTTCTACCACTATACCGCTTTGTCCACTGGCCGCGGCTCCTTCTTCTTCACCAATGTTTTCCCGCGGAATGTGTTCAACCGGGAGAACTGTGGACTGGCTTTCGACATTCAAAGTCTCGGTCAGGCAGAGTTTTAGTACCGCCACTTTTTTCAAAATTTTCTTGCTGTGGTTTTCACACCTGATGATGATTGCTTGTGTTGCAAACGAAACGTATTGAGAATTTTATTGTTTTATTTTTATTATTTTATTATTTCCCTTCTATGTGACTT